ACACCGCTATAAACCTGTAAAGGATCCCTGTAGCCGTGTCATTGTTATAGTACTGCTGTTAAGAAGGCCACGGTACTATAACACTAAAATTAAAGTAAATTTATAGCAAAAATTTTAAAGTTTGCATAATAGTAGAAATTATATGTTTAACACATACATATATACAGATATACTAATATTTGATAAAAATGTATTTAAATAACTCTATAGTACATTGCTACACAAAGCTTAATTTCTTTATCTAAGTTACTAAAATCTGATGTAAGTTTATTTTAACAAAAAATCTAGAATCATATTAAATTTTTGATTTTTTGTATGATAATCAGATGTTTTTCTCAGTTACAATTATTGGTATAAAGAAATTCTATACTATATTTTGGCTTTCGTGATAACAAAAAATAAGAAAAAAATTTTTTTATCTCAAAATTTTGCTTCTTTAACTATATTTTGGATCCTAGCAAACAAATTTCATTAAAGTTAGTTATTAATCAATTTAGAAAATGATCTACAAACCTTGCACAGTTTTTTTTATTCAAATTATTATTTGCACTTTGTCTATAATATATCTAATTCTAAAATACGCATCAAATTTGTTTTTTTCAGACATATAAAATAGATTCCTGTATATGTGCTTTTTTTTTCTACCTCCAATTCACAACACGTATTTTGCATATACTTATCGCATACTTATATAGTTTTGTTTCGTATTATTTAAAATATCTGAAATAAATCTAATAATATATTCTTCGAGTTTAATGAAGCAGAAACAAATGTTAATATATTATTTGAAGTTAAATTGACTATAGTAAAACCAACTGACCATATGTTATTTGTGATAACTGAAAATTTACCAGATTCAATATATTCAACTTCTAAAACACTAGAAGAGCTTCACAACCCCTTAGATAGAGAGTGCTGTATTAAAAATATGTTACAAGAAGTCAGTTTGAATATAGTAGCAATAAATGATAATATGTCATTTGAGATAAATAAAAATGCTTCAACTGATTTATCATACTTAACTTTCGAAACACTAGTAGTACATCGCAACTGCTTAGCCAGAGAACGCTATGCTAAAAGATGATACAAAATGCTACTCTTCTCGCTAATAGTAATTCAGAAAGTGTACATGAACATAAAAGACAGCTTCAAAGAGAAGTATATGCTCGATGTATAGCAACACTTACCAATCATCAAATTGCATAACGATATACACAAAATCGAGAAACTTATTCACTTCGAATAGCAACTAAAACTGTAAAGCATGCTAAAGAACGAAGAGCAAAAAGACGAAAAATTAATCATCATACCTCTAAGAATACCTGTATAGAACTTTATGACAGTAGTATTGTAGCACTGCATGATCTTGGCGAAATGAACATTTAATATATGTATTGTGGTGTGTTATACTAGAAAAATAAGTGTATTTCTGAAACAATACAAAAAGCTATATTTAGCATCTATTACACAAAAGGAAAGATGTATTTACTGCTACTAGCTCCTACTCCTTCAGTTTTGAAAGCTTTGTTAACTGACAACAATACATGTGCTTGAGATTTTCAAACAAAAATTCACATATACAATTCTGCTCTCACTTTTACTTCTATGGGTGCAAGTATTGATGATCGAGTAACTGAAACAAGTGGCGTATACTCTTTTCGAATCCATAGTGAGATGTATCATCAAATTGGTATGCTTTTACTGGTAAATTGCAATAATCTAAAGTTTTGTCAAATCTATATGTACGATACAGATGAGCAACTATTATATCAACATTGTCATATACTAAATTTGGATCATTTAACACTTGCAGAACTTCAGTGAATGCTTTATAAATTAAATCCATATGTGCATGTTTTCGACAAGTTACGTAGCTGCTGCTTGAAAATCCTGTACAAAAATTAAAAATATCAATCATTAAAGCCCATGAAGATCGCCAATATACAACACCAACCATATCAGAAGTTGCAGTACTCATGGTCGGAAATGGTCAGGAGTCTGAACCTTTGAATTGTGATATAATTCTATATAGATTGAAAAAGGTTTATAGCAAATTTCACAGCTTCACTCCTTTTATAGCCCATTACATTATATGCTACTTTTTTCATATAGTGAGCTGGGATGTTATCCGAATATTCCTTTACAAAACGAATTTCATGGACAATTAAATAACAATATAGAGAATTTAAACAATTCTGAAGAAGTTGAAGAAGTAAATTTATACTATATGACAATGATGCAGTACTATGCATATCATTTACAAGTATGTGATTATAGACTTTTAGAATCATTTTCTTTGCATAGATCTGGCTGTTTGTTCCAACAATATATTGTTGATTGCTATGCCTGCATTGAACAAAATCAACTTAACTATATTAGAGTAAATCAAAAACAACTTAGAGCAGAATTGTATAATGGTTTACAAGATACACTTAATAATACAGATGAGGCTCTAACAAACTGCAATCGAGTTGGTCGACATATTGTACTCCTGTCAAACTTCATTGGAGGACTACATTACATGCAACAGCTTTATCAAGATGCCATGATCATTGTCAGGCAAGCGAAGAAGCCAGATCTATTTATAACAATAATATGTAACCCAAACTAGGTTAAGATTCAGAGGGCTCTATTGCCTAGACAAAGTATACAAGACCATTTTGATCTTTGCGCACATGTATTTCAGAAGAAATTAAATTCTTTACTTAACAATATCATTAAAAAAGAGATTTTTGACAAAGTAATAGCATATATTTATGTTATTAAGGCTCAAATGTGTGGCTTTTATATACACATATGTTGTTTATGTTAGCTAATAAAGACAAACTTTGTACAACAGATGATTACGATCTTATTGTTTTTGCAAAGATACCTGATCCAAATATGTATTCAAACAAATATGCAACTGCATTAAATGTATGATGCATGGGCCTTGTAAAGAATTAAATATACGTACACCATGTATGAAAAATAGAAGATGTTCGAAAGGGTATTCTAAACTGTTTCAGCCTGTGTTCTATATGAACAAGAATGGATATTCTATTTATTGATATTGTAATAATAGACGCATAGTAATTGTGAAACAGTATAAACTTGATAACTATTAGGTTGTACCCCATAATCTTCATCTTTGCAAGAAATATAACTGCCATATAAACGTCGAAATTTGTTCTTTTATTTAGACAGTAAAATATCTTTTTAAATACATTTACAAAAGATATGATCATGCAACTATAGTTATTAGCAATAGTGACAGAGGTGTTTATAACTCAAGCATAATTAAACTAAATGATAAAATAAAGCAATATATTGATGCCTATTACATATCAGCTTCAAAGGCTTTCTGGCGTATTATGTATTGTAAAATACATAACGAAGCACTGGATGTTATTCGTTTGAGTATACACTTACCTGACCAGTATTTGGTAATATAGTCAACTCTTTCTAAATGCATGTTCTCTAAATGCATGTTCTCTCTAAATACAGGTTTAAATTCTGGACCCACATATATATTTGATCTTTATAAATACATTTTTCTTAATTGTTTTCTTAATGCATATTGCTAAAAGTCTGGTCCCAACAAGATGTATTTAGAGAGAGTTGACTGTATTTTTTGAAGATAAATCATTAGAATATATTGTTCACAGATCGATTAATCTGCAAACTACATTGACTGCATAGTTTCAAGCTAATCAGGACTTTTCTCTTGCAGATTTTGCAAAAGAATACATTTATGCACAATTTCCACATATATTTGTTTTTGATAAATGGTCAAAAACATAGAAATTACGTGAACATGAAGATGCTATTAGTCGTATGTATTTTGTACACCCAGATGCAGGTGAACATTATTATCTACATATACTTCTAAATATAATACATGGTATACAATCATTCTAACATCTTCGTACTGTAAATAGAGTTGAATATTCAATGTTCAAAGATATATGTCAAGCAATAAATCTATTTTAAGATAATTTTGAATGGGATCACTGTCTCACTAAAGCTGTAAACCTAAAAACTAGACAGCAACTATATTTTTTATTTGCTACAATCTTGATAAATTGCCAGCCTACTGACCCTGAATATCTTTGAAAAAAATACAAGTCTGTTCTTAGCGATAATATATTATATCAGATGCAATAGCAAATGTGAAATCCAAATCTTTAATTGACTGATGAAGATATTGAGAATCGTTGTTTGATACTATTAAACAACATTCTAATTCAACAAAGAAAAACTCTAAAGGATTTCTCGAATATACCAGTTTCTACAGAAGTTAATGATATTAATAATCCTTTGATTGCTAAAGAACTTAATTATAATTATTTAGCATATTAAGATTTTGTTATCCAAAATGAAAAGCTTTTAAATAATGACCAAGTTGTTATATATAAAAAAATATTATTAGCACTAAAGCAAAACAATTCTGCATATTTCTTTATTAACGGACCTGTTGACACAGGAAAAACTTTTCTGTATTTAGTTTTGCTAGCAAAAGTATAGTTACAAAAAAATATAGCTTTAGCAGTAGCCTCTTCAGAAATTGCTGCTCTATTACTTGATAGTAGCCAAACAGCATATTTGCGATTTAAAATTCCTATTGTGCTTGATGAAGACTTCACTTGTAGCATATCATTACATTCTGATCTTACTAAACTACTTAGACAAACTGTTCTAATTATCTAGAACGAAGCACCTATGACATATTGGCATACTTTCGAAGCTGTGGACCGTACTTTACGAGACATTATGGCTGCAATAAATTCACAATTTTAATATGATCCTTTTGGTGTTAAAGTAGTTGTATTCGGCAGTGACTTTAGGCAAATATTTCCTATAATTCCAAAAGGTGGTTGAGAAGATATCGTAAATACATGTTTTTGTTGCTCTTGGCTATAAAAATATATTAAAATTAAAAAGTTAATTATTAATATGCAATTGCAAAAAAATTCTGGGTTCTCAGATGTAGATGCTTAAAGAGGATTCACTAATTGGCTGTTAAAACTAGGTAAGAAGCACATTTTTGGGATTACAGATGACAACAACTACATTCTCTACCATCAGATATTGTTCTCAAAGGTGTTAGCTCTTAAGCTTTAATTGATTTCATATATCCAGAACTGTAGAATTGAGCGCATGATATGAAGTATTTAACTGAAAGAATAATTCTTGCTCCAAGAAATGAAAAAGTTAACACATTGAATACAGAAGTCCTTGCCGAATTTTCTGGAGAAGAAACAACTTATTTTAGCATTAACTCTCTAGATCAAAATTCAGAACTGTATAATTCCACTCAGAAAAGCCTCTACTTGCCTGAATTTTTTAACACACTAAATTTTAGTAGACTATTACTACATGTATTAATACTCAAAGTAGAAGCTCCAATTATATTACTGCGAAATATTAATGCTGCTAAAGGTCTTTGTAATGGAACTCGATTAATCATTAAAACACTCCAACATCATTTTATTGAAGCTGAACCTATGAGTAGTCCTTTAGCTAGAAAGGAGTTTTTTTGCCTGTCTTATACTCTTACCTACAAATATCCAAATACTATTGGCTTTAAAATGTTGTCAATTTCTATGTTAGCTTGCGTTCGCGATCTCTATTCATAAATCACAAGGGCAAACTATAAATTATCTAGGTCTCTATATTCCAACACCTATTTTTACGCATAATTAGCTATATGTTGCTTGTTTAAGAATTATGTTAAACTAGAGGCTACGCATCTTTCTTGGACAACCTGAATTCCCTGAGTATACTAAAAATGTTGTATTTTATAAAGTATTTTCAAAAGTACTGACTAACGCAGAGCTACATATAACAATAGATACTTTATTATGAAATGCTATAAATAGAAAAGTTTATTTTGTTAAAAAAAAAAAATATCAGATAAAAAAAATAGGCATCCAACATAAAAAAATAATCTGTAAATATATTGAAAGATTTGTATAAATTATATGCTTTTTTTATACTTAACTTCTGATATCCAAAATTTATACAATAGATAACTGTGACAATAGGCAAGAAAATTCAAAAAAAAGTATCAAATATAACGAAATTTTATACTAACTTCAATTTTCATTTTTAATCTGACACAACTTTTACTTTGGCAGATACAGAAATATAGTTTGTGATTTTGATCTGATACAATTTTGCCAAGGATAATCCTTGATTTTGATTGGCTAAGAGCAATAAGCAAAAGTTTAAACCGAAGTTACTCAAAAGTTTACTAATGAAATCCCAGTCACACATTAAGTGAAAAATATTTCTGGGCTAATTTTAGCATTATATAGACCTATTTTTTAAATTTTTTATTTTAGGATTGAAAAATTTAAAAGTAAATTCTGGCCAAAATTATATAATGTGGCTCACTCTGTGATATTTTACAATTTTACAGTTTTATGTAATTTTGTATAACTTGTGAGTTTTAACACTTTTTACTAATTTATCAAAATCACAAATTTATACAAAATTATATAAAGTTACTATATTTTTACAATATTTTAATCTAATATTGCTCGAGCATATAAATTAGATAAAGTAGCAGCGAAACCAAAAGTCAGTAGAACATCTGAATTATAGATCATATTTTATTGAATTTAGGCCGGTATTAAAAACTAACGCTAACTGTATTACAAATTTATAATCTGAGCAGCTTTAAAATCTTGATTGTTTTTGGCAAAATTAATCAATGCTAGCTATTCTGGTGTATTTCGATGACTAATTCTTGCTGCTCTGCTGTATTTTAGTTGTGGTACTAATTTATTTTGTATAAATTTGAGCATATGCTTAAGAATTTTATATACTGATAATGATTAACATAATGAGTACAAATTAAATATAATAAATTAAAGTTATTTTATATCAATTATTATACTAATATATTATCAATAAACCCATTGTTTAATAACAGGTCCAGTATTTAGTAATTATATATATATTTTATTTATATTATTTGATATTATATTAATTTATATTTATATAAATTAGAAAAAATCTTTCATTATTTTTTACAATTGATCTATTTAATTATATTCCTGATGAACTTCATCTTTTATTATGAATATCTGATATATTATTAAAATGTTTATTTAAAGATTTATTTAAAAACATTGATTTTGAATGAAAAATTAAAAAACAAATTGAACAAAAGATGAGAAATCTTAATATTTATTTTAAATTTTATAACTCTGGATGAACTAATTGGAGTTAAACATCACTTATAGGACCTGATAAAAAAAAATCTTACAATATTTTCCTATAAGTGAATTTATATCTGGAGAATATAGAATAACTATTAAATATTTATAGCATAAGTTCTATAAATTATATACAATTTTAAAAAATCTATCACTTATTAAAAAAGAAATTTTAAAATTTGAAGACAAAACAAAAAATTGAATAAGACCTTTTTGTAGACCTACTATAGAAAAAATGAATATTGCAATATTAATTCAAGGAATTTATAGAAAAAAATGTTATGCCATATATACATATATTTACAATATATATACCTTATTTTATATGTCAATTAAATAAAAAAAGATATTCATTTAAATTGTTTTCAACAAGTAGTATCAAAAAAAACTATAATCAGGTATATATTATATCAATATATATTATTAAATTTTTAAAACTGATATATATATATATAGTGAACAAGTTTTATATCAATTTTGACAAAATTGACTCAATAATATAATATTTTATTAATTTTTATTAGATTAAAATATTTTTTAATAAAAGATAACAAAAAACTCAAATCTGTTGTTTATAATATATTGGAATATGAAAATTAGCAAATTTTTTATTTAATTAATAATATATCAAAAGAAATTACATACAAGAATATTAATATTCAAAATTAAAAAAGTCAAAGTAAAATATATCTATAGCATGATTTAGTAGATTTACTATTTAATAAAAAATTGTAATCATTTGAAAAAAATCTATAGATATTATATATTGTATATAAACTATGATTTGAATTCAAATAGCTCTTAATAAATTTAATTAACAAAGTTTTAGATAAAAAGAGCTTAGAATTTTCTTATAATTTTTTTTGTTTCTAATCAAATAATATTTTATATTAGCTATTGTTATTTTCTAGTAATATATATACTCGAGTTGAAGTATTTATATTTTCACAATAAAAAACTTGCTTATATCTAAAAATTTTTTTTAATTATTCTTTACTATCTGCATTTTTAAAAACACAATGATATTTTTGTTAACTTGATATATATTTAAATTTTTTTTCATTTTCAAATAAAGATACATATTGTAAAAACTCAAAATAACAAATATCTGTATGTTATTTTGACTATCTATGCATTATTTCGAATATGCCCATGGGTATTATTTTGAATCAAGTGTCTAGTTTCAAAATCTTTAAATTTTTTTCTTAATTGTTTATAAAGGCTTCCATAGTGGGTGCGTATTATTTTACAATATGCACAAGGTGTTATTTTGAAACTATATTTATTGTTTTTAGAAATTGAGATTTTTAAATTAACACCCATGCTCATTATTTTAAGTTTTTACAGTATATATTTTCAGAAAATGCATCAATTGATATATTTTTTTTGCTAATTGAATGTTTACTAAAACCAAAACTATTTTTAAATAAATAATAATAGTATCATGAAAAAATAATAATATTTCTTCTAAAGATTGATAAAGTATATGATAATATGAAATAAGTTTGTTATTTTTATATGTATTATATTTATAGCTTTGAAGTTTCTGCTTTGTTTTATAAATTTTAAAACAAAGTAAACAGAAAAAAATTTTGGTAATAGTTTTTTTTTTTTTTTTTTGAACATATTGACAGCCTTGCCGGTATCTTTATTAGATTAAAGTATATGCACAACGTACAATTAAACTATCTAAGTTAGGGCTGTAACAAATATTATATAATATTTTTTTACTATACCCTACCCCCTCCCCCCACATAAAAGAAATTTGATTGGCTCTTATAAATTTAATATTTAACATAAGATTTTAACAACCCCTTTCTCCTAAAAATATTATGTAATATTTGTCATTATTCTTACAGATCTGACATCACTTGACTGCCCCTAAGGGTGCTCAAGTGCGGTCTGCCTCATCAGTTAAGGCTATTGCCCATACCGGAGAGCTATACCAAGCTAGCCTAAGAAACCATCACAAGATAGTTTCAAAACAAATGAATTTTCTACTACATTATGTTGGCAAATTTCCCTTTCTAAACTATCTACCTTTTTTGAACAAAACTCTAACTCTAATTTTTTAATAATAAACCAACAAATTTCCTCTTTCAAAACAGAGTTATTGCCAGAATTCTTTCATTCATG